GGAAGCCCTATCGTTGGATGTTTGAGGGAAAATCGAAGGGACGTTACAATCACGAAGGCATCTTGGCAAGAAGCTTTAGTAACCACTCTAAAGTTCTGAGATCACTTTTAACTGAGACAACATCGAGAGGGTCATCGAGGGACTAGTGATCTTTAAACTGGAGGATAATCACTAAATCCTCTCACGTTTCGAGAGTTGTGACTATTTTTTGAAGGCAACCAAAGTGGGGTACCCTAGAGGTGCGCATGTGCAAGTGATTCAATTCAGTTCATTTATCTTTGTTATTAGGTTTGCTAGCGCTTTGTTTTCAGTCTTTCCATACAATCCTATTTACTAACAGTAATATTGTACATAAAATATAAAGTGCGGAAAGTAAATCCTACTCTATTATATCCCATGAGCAGTTACAATATTTAGAAAAAAATGCGAAAAGATAAACTAACTATTACAAAATCAAATATGCGACCTATACATTCTTTCTAGAATTTAAATAACAAAAGAAAAATAGCTAACTATTACAAAATCAAATGTGCGACCTATACATTCTTTCTAGAATTTAAATAAAAAAATAAAAAAAGATAAAAATGAGAAGAGATTGTTTAGAAAGAAAATCAAATGTCCTAAAAAGTCTAAGTATTAAGAAAAATATTTTTGGTATTTTCGTGATTTGATTTTAATATTTAAGACCTATGTCTAAATTAATTACAAATTAACTATGAAATAAATAGTAAAACATGATTAAGTTAAATTAAATTTATTTATGAAAATTAAATTAATTAAAAGAAAAGAACTAAATCTATATTTTTGTGATTTTATGATTTTTTTGATAAAAAAGAATTAATTGAAATGAAAATAAAAAAATAATTAAAGCAAAAAAAAAAAAGAATGGGCCATGTTGTAAAGAAAATGGAGGGATGCGCTAAGAAAAATCCCAGGCCCATTAGCAAGAGAGTTCAGGCGCGGAGAAAAATCTTCAGAATCATGTGTATCTCTCCCATGAGGCCTATCATGGGTTTGGGTTGAAAGTACCCGTATCACAGAATCTGAAACTCAAAAAGCTTATAGCCCTAACCATGGCATCTTGTGCATAGGGTGTTCATATGCAAATGCGATCGTCCTAACCTGTTCTAAATGGTCTCACAAACACATATCAATGTACAAAAATAATTTATATGAGATGAATAGAGAATTTGAGATTCAAGAAATTTTACCAAAATTGGTATGATTGGATGTGAGAGTTCTAGACGTGGAACAGCTTGGTTATGAGCCTAGTTCAACTCTTGGGGAGCATCGGAGAGATGAACGGATCCTTTGTTTTTCTTGAGAGCACCTGGAAGTGTAGTTAAGAATTTTGCAACTTTGAGAAATTTCTGAGAATTTTGTAGAGCTTTGTAGCAATGATTTTTTTTGTGTCCTTTACTCATGCCTTGGTCTTGTATTTATAGAGGAAGAAGAGGGCTAGCAAAGATGGTAAGAATCTACTCATAATGGCCTTCTTTTAAACCAAAATCAAACACATTAAAAAAGTTCTAAAAATGCAAATTCTTGCCCATTTTGAGGTGCAATGCACCTGACCTCCTTTGCACGAAATTTTGGAGCCAAAAATAATTCAAACCATCAGCCCATATTGCCATAACCAATATTTACTATTTTATGCAATTTTATTTAGTTTTTATTTGATTTAATTCATATTTAAATGAATAAAAATTTAAATAAATAACAATAAAAAAAAACATGGATAGATTTAGAGGTCATTGGACACATCATGAACATATTTTAACTCCAAAAAGTTATGCCCAATAACTTTAAATCACAAATTTTCTCCATTGAGATTTCATGCATTTTCTTGAAAATTACCCAAATTGTGCATTTCATAACTTGCTCAAATTTATATTTTGAAGATGATCTTGGACTTTCTGGAAATCCCAATATTTCCTCTACACTTTCTCTTTTAATCATCTTTTCATTTGAAAACTTTATCTTGATGTAAATGGTCTTGACAAAAAGTGTCTTTTATTGACTTTCTGAAAATGACCTGTAATGTATGAGCTTGTATATTTCAAATGGTGCATTTCTTGGACTTGAGGACAAAAGAGAAGTTGAAGGGAACGATATTCTCTTCAAAATGAGATTTGGTTTGGTAAAAATGGATAAACTATGTGAAAGTTATGCCTGGTCAAAGTTCAATTGACTTTTCCGATAGAAACCCTAATTTAGCAATTCTTGACTTTTGATAGATTAGGAGCATTTCTTGAGGAATCATGATCAACCCTTGATCAAATAATGAATATCACTTTAAAATGTTGACCAAAAATCTTGAAGTTTAACTGTATATGGGTCACAATTAACTTTTGACCTAGTACAATTGATTTTCAAACACTTGAGCAATTGACTGAGCAAACTTGTAGTGCAAGACATGAAATTTGTCATGGACTATCTTGAAGGCATATTAGGACAATGGAAAACATTTGATAACTTTGGAGCTTATACATCTTGATGAAAAGTGAAACCCTAATTAGAGATTTATTGCCTAGAAGGAGAATTTGTCTGGTCAATTCTTGGTCATCTTTGAGCAATTGGGAATCTCAATGAGCATGTCTTGAGTAAAAATAGGAGGAAAATTTTTGGGGTACAACAACATGTATCATATATTTTACTTTTATTCTATAGACATGTATATAAAGATGCCGTTAGACACTTATGGTTGTGTCATTACCAATTAACAATATGTATAATATATATTCTAGATGCGTATTATACATGGTGTTACACACCATGATTCTCCCTTAAAGTCTATTAGGCGGAGTAAATTCCCACGTAGAAAGTGCTTTTCCCATATAGATGGTCCACCACCAATGAAGACAATTAAGGTCGTTATGGTCCCTAACAAAGGCAAAGATAGCAATAAAGAATAGGGGGCCATAAAGGGAAATTGATCATTCGTAGTCTATGTCACTAGAGATTATCATTTTATTGAATTAATCACTAGAGGATTTTCGCATCTGAAATTGTTTTTCAAGGGAATTGAAGAGGAAGATTGTAGAGTTGATGACAATAGATAAGAAGAGAGAACTAACCCATCTCAGGGTTCAAAGATAGTGAGAAGTATTCCTACTCAGTGCTAGCCCTATATTTTAGCCTAAGAGTGGAAAAGGCCCCAAAAATGTGAAATCCTATAAGGAAGAAATATTTTATAGTGATATTCCTTAATGAAGCCAGAACAATGACGTCAGAAGATGAAATACCACTGTTGTATTTGTTATTCAAAGGAATGTTCTATTATCTAGGAAATAAGCTTGAACCCTATCTAGAATAGCATATGATACATGAAAATGGTTGAAGTATGACTCTTAGATGATAGAAAAAATAATAATATTATAACATATATCTTCAAAAATTCTGGTAAAACCCTGAATAAAAGGGACCACAAACATCAATTAAGATACACACATAAAATTTCTTAAAACTTTATACCTCTTATATCCGACAGTCACATCTATGAAAGTCTGATTATTTTTAAGTACACCACTATCATCATGAGAATAACTCACGACATTTGCATAAAACTATACGTAGAGTTCTCATAGAGAGTCAATGGAGTGTAAATATTTTATACCTATGTGAAAATTATATAACTCTTTATCCATGACCTTTGAGATATGATCATCACTCTATCCACATAATAGTCTCAATGTTTTAATGTTATCCTGTTTCACAATAAAGCTTAACTACAAATATTTTAAGAATATTATTCTCATGTATAATGAAGTATCACAATTAAGTCACACTTGCTGCTTTATCAAACAAACTAATTGTTTCATTGACTTTATTATTTTAAAAAATAAACATAATAAAGAAATGTCATATTATTATTAATAGATATTTTGATACAAATATCAAGTTGTAATAAAACTATTTATTTCTAAGGTATTAATAGATATTTCGACACAAATATCAAGTTGTAATAGAACTATTTATTTCTAAGGGTTAGACCAACATGTAGAGAATTTATGAACATTAGTATACGTGTTTTTTTTTGTGGATAAACACATTAGTATAAAATTAACAATACATTAGATAACAAGATATAAAGTAAAATTAAATAACATGAATTAAATGTTTCTCATTATGTCTACCTCGCTTACGAAGGTGAACACTTGTAATGTTATATAACTTCTATAAATTATTAACAACATAAGTAATATTAGTTTTTAAGTCACAAAGTAATATTTTAAAAATATTTTAAAAACAACCGAAGTTAACTATAAATAATTAAAGATGATGATGAACAAGTGTAGATCATATTTATCACTTACTTTGAATAAGTTTATTACTCAGTCCTTTTATATATATATATATATATATATATATATATATATATATATATATATATATATATATATATATATATATATATATATATATATATATATATATATATATATATATATATATATATATATATATATATATATATATATATATATATATATATATATATATATATATATATATATATATATATATATATATATATATATATATATATATATATATATATATATATATATATATATATATATATATATATATATATATATATATATATATATATATAGATATATATATATATATATATATATTTTTAAAAAGTAATATATGCAAGTATATTTTTAAGGTGATAATGTACACTTGTAACAAACAAACTATATTTTATTTTATATAAAAAAACTGAGTAACAATGTTATTTTGTTGGAAAGTCTATATATAGTAAGATTTATGTTCGCCAAAAAATAAATGTGTGGTAAAAAAAGGTTAAAGAAATTTCAGACAACTCAATATATTTTTGTTGAAAAGACTAGTCTGTTCTTTTTTAAATTAGAAAGTGATCTAATATGTTGTCGTAGGATAGAAAGCTATATTTATTTATTATCTCCACTATAAATAAATTAAAATTTTGAGTTTTATATCAAAGTTGAACATTCTCTTCATCATTGAAAATGGAGATTTTGTCATCTTTCAGAATTTCTAAAACTACTATTGCAATCTTGTCTCTTGTTTTGCTTTTCAACATCCCTTATCAAGCATCTGGCCGTATGTATTTTTTTTTAATAATAAGTCTTTTAATTTAAATCATTAAACATTTAAGAAAGTTAAAATTACTCATATGTAAAAAGATATAATTCAATCTTTTATCGCGATCGAACCATGTTATTATATATTTCTTCTGTTTCAACTTATTGAACTCTTATCATTTTAAATATTTATTTCTAATCTATTTGGATATGTTACTATTGCAGACCTACTTCACAGGCAGAAGACAATCAAATATGACTTATTTGCTTCACAGGTACTTCTAAATAAGTTAATTAGTTTATTCATATACACGATAATATTAAATAAATCATAATTATTTTATTTTAGCATTCTTTATTAATTAACATGTTTTTCTTGCTGAGTTTTTATAGATTGGAGGAGAAAATACATCTAATCCATATGAACCTATATTGAAATTTCTGAATTCTTCAAAATTTCCGAATCGAAAATCATTTCCGCATGGATTTTTGTTTGGTACCGGATCTTCTGCTCTTCAGGTACATTTTTAAAATTTATGTAAACTTTTATATATATATATATATATATATATATATATATATATATATATATATATATATATATATATATATATATATATATATATATATATATATATATATATATATATATATATATATATATATATATATATATATATATATATATATATATATATATATATATATATATATATATATATATATATATATATATATATATATATATATATATATATATATATATATATATATATATATATAATGATTTAAAATTATAAAAGCTAATTATTATTAATAACTTTTGATAACTTTAGATTGAAGGAGCATCTCATGAAGGAGGAAGGGGGCTTGGTATATGGGACGATATAGTTGAACAAAATAAAGGTTTGAAACATATATTTATAGTGGGAATGCATATGTGAATACTTCAATGCCCAATAATCAGTCATTTTATGTTATTTTATTTTTATACGGAGTACTTAATTATTTTAAAGTGAGTTTAAATTTTAACTGTCTTTAGAGTACTAGTATTCAACGAAAGTTCAATTGATCAAAGTATTTTTAAAATTAAATTATCGAAAGAAGTTCATAGATGAAGTAACAAACAACTTTAAGAAATTGTAGAAATTACTATAAATATTGGTGATATGACTATTTTACAATTCTTTCTTATAAACTTGACCTTTGTTCTTTGAAGTAACATACTCAAATTACTAATGAGATAATATATAATGGATTTGTGGCAAACAACTTAGTTTTATGACCATTTATAATATGATCTCTAATTTCAATGGTTAAATTTTGTTTTTCTATTCATCTTGGAATATGTGGTATTGCTATTTGATTTTTTCTATCCATCTTAAAATATAATCCCCAATATAATGATTAACACTCATAATTTTTTTTCTTTCTTCTTAACAAGCAGGTCCGTTTTTAGATGCCGATAAATTTTCATCAAAAATTGAACATTATAAACGATATAAGGTGAGCTCACCGTATATGAATTTTATTGTTTTTTTATAAGTGTTATTTTTTATATTTGTAAATGTTATGTATTATAGTACTTAATATTACTCTTGACTCTAACCATCAACCTAACATTATTGCTTTATTTAAATATAATAGACCGATAATGTTAAAATAAATTAAAAAAGTATACAACTTAGGATAATTAAGTTTTTGAACTTATTTTCTTTATTTTAATATGTATGGTTTTGTAGGAGGATGTGCAACATATAAAAAAACTTGGAGTAAATTCTTATCGAATGTCCATTTCTTGGAATAGAATATTACCAGGTAATATTTTCAAATTAAAACAATTTTTTTTTACAATAACATATTAAATTTCTAAATTTGACTTTATAAAAAAGTTAGTTAACATATTTCTCGAAAGAAAAATGTTAAATGACTAAATATTTGAGTTATCTTTCCTGCTTTGGTCCTTCCTTTTAATTCTATCTTTCAATCTATAATAAATTAAGTTTGAGCATAAATTATGTTCTCCTAACTTGTTTTTGAAATTATATTTATTTTGGTTTGATCTTTATATTTGATTTGCACCAAAATTTTGATTAATATTAAAGAGAAAAAATATTATACAAAGTTTTAATTTGGAACTTAAGCAAGGAATCCCATTTCTCTATAGTTTTTAAAAATTAAAATTTGAATTTTGGTCATTTAAGTTGTTTTTAAGTTTTACTTTGGTCTTTTAAATTTTTGTATTTAATTTTTTCCTCTTAAGATACAAATGTTAGACACTTTAATCTATAAATATAAATATAATTTTATACATTTAATTAGGTTAAATTATACTTTTATTCAACCGATTTATTTTAAGATTTTATATTTATTCGTTAAGTTATTCTTTTGTTTCATTTTAAATGTTATTTCAATTCGTCGAAACTCGATTTAAATATATATAATATGTCATATATGTGTTACATTTATGCTAATTTTGTAAATGACTCTTATTAATGTCTTTCTTCACGAAATTATAGTTTGATATTTGTTGTTGCTGCTACAAAAGTTATGAGAAAAATAATCATTTTAAAATGCTAAAAAATTAATTTTATAATATATTTCTTCTTGAAATACATAATAATACTATTACACTTATTTTTTCTGTTTATTTTTAATGATTGATTATATAGATGGAACATTGAAAGGAGGTATAAATCAAGAAGGTATCAATTTCTACAACAATTTGATCAATGAGTTACTAAAAAATGGTATGACTTGAAGTATCTAATATTCATTGCAATAATTAGATTCAATGAGAGTTTTTTTTATTTAAAATACACACTTTTTTTTTTGCTTTTACATAATTCATTTTTCATTTAAATGTATAGGTATTGAACCTTTTGTGGGTATCATGCACTTTGACTATCCGTTAGCTCTTAAACAAAATTACGGTGGTTTCTTAAATCGCTCTATTGTGTAAATTTTCTTCAATGTCATCTTAATATTTTATTTTTAATTTATTTATTTAATTTTAAAGTTAGTTTACACCGTGATTATGGAATTTCAAAATTTATGCTTATATTATTTATATAAAAACAAATTTCAGGAAATATTACAAAGACTATAGTGAACTCTTATTCAAAACATATGGAGATCGGGTGAAACATTGGACTACAATCAATGAAGTAGAATTTGCAGCATTAGTTCAGTACATGTTCAATATTGAAAATTCATCTACTGATCAGACATGCACAAATACTAAAATATGTACACAAACATATACTTTAGTTCATAACTTCCTTCTTGCCCACGCTACTACATCAAAATTATACAAAAAAAAATTCCAAGTAAGACATATTTTAGACATTCTATGTTAAAATTATATACTATATGAATGTTAACTTAAAATATATTTAGTTTACCAATTATTCACAACATGAGTGAATAGATAGAATACAAAGAGTTGATAATAGTAATAATAATAATATTAATAACATTTATAATTTATTTAATTAAATTAAAAAATGATATTGACAGTTAGTAACATTAATTAAATGTTTTTAAAATAGGCAATACAAGGGGGAGAAATTGGACTTGCTATTACATCAGGAAGATATGTTCCTTACAGTTCTAACCCTGAAGATGTGGTTGCTGCTCAAAGGCTAATGGATTTTTATTGGGGATGGTTAGTATCACAAATTCAATGTTATTTTATTTAACTATTTTTATGTCTTATTTAAATTATAATTACATATACGTATTAGATATTTAGCTGTATTCTATTCCAACGTGTAGGATTTTGGATCCAGTGTTTAATGGAGATTATCCAAGAATAATGAAAGAGTTTGTGGGGAATAGACTACCAAAATTCACTAAAAAGGAGAAATACATGTTAAAAGGAAGCACAAATTTTATTGGAATTAATTATTATACTTCTCACTTTGCTAGACATGAACCAAATAGAACCAAGATTACAGCTGACAATTATGATGCTTTAGCGGTTTCAGAAGGTAATTTTTTTCTTAAATTAAATTCTAATTTTAAAGAGGAAAAATGGTATAAAAATCATGTCAATGTAAAAACAATTCAATTAATTTGACATCACAAACTCTACCAATTAAATTCTTGTTATTTTACATGCAAAATTATAATATATAATGATTTATTTATGAACTAACTTTTGGACTTTACTTCATAACTGAAGCTTCTAATGTGGAAGGGAAAATCCTTGGTTTCAAGGTGAGAAAATATTGATAAGAACTTAGAATAATGACACATGTTGTTAAAGCAATAACATAATTGTGATATTTTTAATTTTTGTTCAATGTTGATGATTTGTAGGATCAATACGGTTGGAGCAATGTCTATCCTGAAGGATTATATAATTTTTTAATCTACATTAAGGAAAAATACAAAAATCCCAAAGTCTACATCACAGAAAATGGTTGGTGGTGCTTTTTTTTTTATCACATTTAAAGTAGTATAACTAATATCTTTAATTTATTCTATAAAAGATTAATTGGTATAATATTTATGAAATCTTATTTATCTAGGTATTGCTTCTTCAAAAATCTCAAATCCACTGAAAGACGGACACCGCATTGCTTATGTTGCCGCACATTTAAATGCTACCAAGGCAGCAATTAAGTAAGTTATTTTTACTTATCCCTAAAACTATATTGATACTAAATAAATATAAATATATTATGATAAAGTTGATTATTTTTAGAATTGAATGTATTTCTTTTAGCTATTATATATGTACATATGTTTTATTTATGTATGATCTAATGTTGCTTTTGTGAGAATCTTTTATTTATTATATTATGTGTATATATATCACAAACGTTATTAATATTGTTACTTAAGTAAAGGAGAGTAATAAAAAATTTAAAAATGTTTATTAACTATATTGTATTGGTTTTTACTATGAATTGATTCAAGAATATTTTGAAATGAAAAGAATTAAATTCTAATAGGTTAAATTATAATAAAGGTCAATGATCTTGAATTGATAGTAAAAAGTGGTTTCACGTAGTTATTCAATCATCTTAATATTTAGATATTGTGTTGAGATAGTTTAAAAAGTGATAAAAATAAATTGACATCATGTTCTAAATATCTTTAATATAAAAAATCAATCAAAAATTTAAAGTGTTCATACCTGAAAAAACAATATGACTCATCTTCAATATATTTTCTATATTTAAATTGACAGTGATGGCGTAAATGTTCAAGGTTACTTTTTATGGGCAGCATTTGATACATTTGAATTTCAAGCGGGTTATTCTGGAAATTGGGGTCTTTATCATATTGATTTTAATGATAATCTGAAGCGTATACCGACTGATACAGCAAAATGGTACAAAGAATATCTTACACATGATTTGAGACACTAAAATTTACATTTGATATATATCAACCGAGATGGAAAGAAAATCATTATAAATGGAGAAGTGAGACATGACTCTCACTTCAAATGTGATTGTATATGTTTATTTCCTTTATTATTATTTGACATTTTAAATGTATTTACATCTGTGATAGGAATTTATATTAGTGCAATACTCATACGATGTATGTGACACTCTATACCTCAAAATCGCTTAGTCGTTAATATTTACCGAAAAAGTTTTTTCTAAACAAATACAAATTGAAAATAATAAGACCTTTTATTTAAATCACCTTCAAATAAAAAACACCACAATATTAATTATAATAACACACAATAGTTTTCATCATTTAATAGTAAAAACCCTAAAATCTCAAGTGAGATAGATAGAGCTTGAACGAACAATAAACATTGGGACAAGTTTTCCAACTTTTAAAATCATACTTTAAAACCAAAATTATCATGAAGGCACGCAATCTATTATATAAACCACTATTACTCGTAAATATTTCATACGTGAGAATTCAAGTTCAACCCATATAAGCAAATAAATAACAATAATATAGTCATTTATACAATGTATTGTATTTGTCATATTAAAGACACATAACATACTACTCAAAAACAACTATTAACAACATCACACAAATATAGTTATTACTATGACTTTATAATAACGACTCTTACATCAAATAACCAATGACTAGAGGATGGTCAAGATCACTGAATAAAACTGTTAATAATCATCCACTTTGAACTCTATTAATTTGGTTCTCATTATCGCTCTTCAATAACATATTCTCATAATGGGACACATACATTATTAAACCCCTTATATGGATCATTCAACTTAGGGTTACATAATTGTGCCTCATATAAATTTGAGTCTTATATCATTAATAGGGATTCTAGAAAATGACTATTAATATTGAATTTATGTAAACTATCGACCATATGATTAATCTCGTATACTAAGTAAGTATCTTCATAAGGGATATAAAATATGCTCAATACAAGTAATAAAATTTATGTAATATTCGTGGTGAGTGCAATAGAGGTTGACTCTACTTGAAATTAGTCAAGTAATACCTTTTAGGTTTTCTGATATGTAAATAAGTGATACCTTAACCTAACCCTTGAGTTAGAAATATTTCTCTCCCTAAAGATATCAGGATATTTTCCTATAATGTCAGCCACATTTATCTTGACTCTAATCCACTAGGAGTGAAATGGGTGACTCATTCCTTCAATATAGAAGATGTGGTTAGTGACCTTAATGAGATTGAAGGCTATTGTGATAGGGATACTCTCGTGGGTTTCAAGGAACATACTTTGATGAGTAATCTACTATAATATATGAGGGAGTCGGCGAGTTTTCCTATGTATTTAAATCATGTGTGACCTCGCCTCTTCTTTTTGGTTCTCTCTTAATAGTCATAGTCAAATGGGATGTAACTGTTAATGCAATATGGACTTAAGTATTAATATAATAGTCGACAATCCTTCATGTATTATAGGTGATACATAAAGATCCACATTCTCTCAAGCATGAGGTTTGTAAGAGAAAATTGGTTAAAGAGAGACATAATGGTCCACTATGTCTCAAACATAAGACCTGTAAGGACAAAGTTGTTAAGGCGAGTTTGCATGATTGTTGATCACGTGTGATTAAATATATGTTAATTTTAAATCATTTGATTTTATGGCAAAAACTCAATATATCAGTTGAGGGATTTGGAGAAGTCCTTTGATTTTATCATTAAAGTTGTAATAATTAAATTGTCTTAGGAAGGACCTCTCAATTTGATCCCTTCATTCCTTTGCATAACTATGAGTTGAGCCTTTGATGTTCTGACAAAATAATGATTATGGATCTATGTACTTTTTGGTACAACTATCTACAACTGCCAAATATTGACGATGGTTTTAATGAGGAAAACATTATGTTAATTCTCTTTTTATGGTTGGCATTAATTTTAGTAAAACAAATTAGGCAGCAATATGTTAAATAGGATGAGTTAGCTTGCTAAGAAAATAGGTTAAACAAGATGTCTTATGTTATGAAAAAATATGTTGTGTTGATATGTTTCACCAACTGAAGCAACATGTCGGATGAGATGTCCTATGCAGAGTCATTCAACATCTTGACCATGTTGGACTGGGCTGTTGGATCGGTCTAAGATTTGTCTAATGCAGAATATTCTGATAATATTATGATATCTTAGGTGGCATTCAAATTGAAGATTGAAGAAGAGTCAAGCTGATTTCAAAGAGTTTATTAGTTTCTAATTATTGAGACATATTAGAAAACTAATGATAAGAAATCCTATAATTTAGGAGATATATCTGCAGCTTTATTTGCTACAGATCAGATGCGATTTTGAAGCTCAATCATGTCCAGAAGATGGTTATAAATAGAAGGTTATTAACCTAGAAAAGATATCAGTCAAAAATACAAAAAATAGATTATTAGGGCTGAGTTTGTAAGCCACTCTGTAGGAGAGTTGGTATATGTGAGCATCTCGAACATTATGTTGATATGAGAGTAGGACTGATGCGATAGAGTTGTAATTATATGTTGTTCATTCTTAAGCTTTTAAGCATAGAATGTATATTGTTCTTGGATGAAGCTTTGAAGAAAATCCAAGTGTGTTTGTTAGTCAAGTGTCTTGATTGAACTTTATAGTTGTTAGATATCACTGAGGTGATTTAGGAAGTAGAATATCGCTTTCTCATATTTAAGATGCTCCTAGGTAGAATTTGCATTGGGTAGGGATTAGGTGAGAAGTTGTAAAAGGAGGAATTTAACTTTGAACTAATATTGTTGATAGTGGACTTCCTTCCTAGCTTGGTAGCCCCTATAGTAGGTGTGTGTCCACTGAACTGGGTCATCATATATTTATGTTCTTTATCATTCTGCATTATTCAGTTTTGTTTCTTGATTGATCAACATGTCGTACAAAGATGTTGGAACATATGTCACGACTTCAAACTGATTAGGTTTATATCAGTCTATTATATTTTATCCATGTGTTGTTACGCAAAGATCAATGTCTCAACATGTGTTAGGACATTTGTAATTTGTATGCGAAAATTTTAATTGGTATCAGAGCAGGCATCCTATTCTGTTTTGGATGAGATCAGGAAGATACTTTATGATATTTTGGACATGAAAGAGTTGAAGTGTTATTTGGAGCTATGGATGTGACTGTGGTGTTGCTGGTGAGGCGTTCTTTTTCTGTTGCATGTGTCTCTGATATGTAAATCTGGGGTGGTCAAGTTTGATTTGTCTCCCGGTGTTTTGACCTTCTCTAGAGAAGCTGGATGATTGAGGTTGATAGATGAAGCCTGGATGTCTACCAGATGGATGCTATTAAGGATATCTCTTCTGTATGGTATTCTATGAGATGTTTTTGACATCTTACCTAGAGTCTGAGAAGCAATGAAGATTCTAGCAAGATGACGATTAACAAGGAGGAAGCTAAAAGGATGAGAGTGTTTTGATTCCTTCACTAAACTTAAACTTTAATGTAATTAATTTCTTTAATAGGATTAGATATTTTAATGTAATTAATTTCTTTAATTAATTAATTAAACTTTAATTTTCTTTTTTAATTAAAATAAAATTGACTTAGGTTTTTTTTCTTGAATTAACCTTAAATTTGTAAATTAACTTAATTAATTATTTGGACCTTATTTTTATTAATTCAAAATTAATTGGACTTAGATTCTTTTTTATCTAAATATTTTCTTAAAAATCACAAAAAAAAATATATTAGGATTAGTCTTTGTTTGCATTGATTTAATTAATTGGGATTAAAACTTAATCTTCCTCATTTTTATCCAATGGTTTTCTTAGCAAAAACAAAAACCAAAAAATATTTTCTTTTGTTTACTTAGCATTTTCTTAGGTTTTTAGACGTTCATCTTTATCTCGCGTGCGTTTATCGTTTTCGCATTTTTTAATATTGTAACTGATCATGAATGTAATAGTTTTAGATTTAAAATTCCGCACTTTATTTTCTTGCACCTCTTTTTTTATGTAACTGTCCCAAAGTGTTGTAATAGTTTAGGGTTTATGTTTCTGCTTTTATTTTCCGTACGTTACATTTCATGTACAATATTACTGTCAGTAACTAGGATTGCATGGAAAGATTGAAAAAAACGTTATCAAACCTTAATGCAAAAGATAAATAACTGAAAAAACACACTTCTCACACTTGCATCCTTAGGGTATTCATCACCTGGTTGCTTCAGAAATGATCATGTCCCTCGAGCGTAGGGATATCTTAGAAAAGACCCTTGATATAAAAATCATTATAAAAGATCATAGTCCCTAAACGTCCCTCAAGTTGCCTTTCGGTAAATGATCTTGTCCCTCGATGTTGCCTATATGATGACAGTCCCTTCGAAATGCTAAGATATCTTTACATGTTTCCTTTAATGACCATAGCGTCCCTTTCGATAGTCCCTCAACATCCGACGATAGGGCTACCTACTCACTAATAGTAGGATAGCACTATCTAAAGGAAATGAGGAAAAGAACATCCTTTTCGAGTAGGTAGACTATTCTTAAGTACTTGCTCAAAAACAAATTTTCACACTTACACACTTTCAAAAACGCTTTATCACACTCTTGAGGACTGATACAAGAGTTACCATTAAGCAAACAAAAATCTTTCAAAACACACAAACACAAAAAGTTTTCAAAAATGAGCAAGTACCTAAGAGCCCGTGGAAAACCACGGATGGAAAGGGTGCTAACACCTTCCCTTTCCATAATCTACCCCCCTTACTCAGAAAATCTCGAAAAAGTTCTTTTTCTGTTCTTTTCACCCTTTCCTTTGTTGGATAAAAGAAAAGTCGGTGGCGACTCTTGCTTACCGCAACATTTGAAAACAAAAAACGCAAAACCAGTATATAACTTTCGGTTTTGCCACCATATCACACGGGTATTAACCTCTGACCTGAGAAAGAAAGATAGTTTTATTGCTTGTTACAAGTATT